GCAGAGGAAGAAAGAGGGAGAGAGAGAGAGAAACATCAATGATGACAGAGAATCATTGATTGGCTGCCTCCTGCATGCCTCATGCTGGGGATCGAGCCCACAACACGGGCATATGCCCTTGACTGGAATCGAACCTGGGACCCTTCAGTCCACAAGCTGATGCTCTACCCACTGAGCCAAACCGGCTAGGGTCAATTCCAACCTTTTAAAGTATACAAGTCAATGTATGGTTTTAGCAAACTCATACAGTATGCAGCCATCCCCAATTCCATAACATTCCCACTACCCCAAAAGACACTGTGCCCATCAGTAGTCACTCCCACTCCCATTAAGAATTGAATCATGTCCCCCAAAAGACATGTTCAAATCCTGACCCTGGTAACTATGAATGGAACCTTGTTTGGAAATGGGGTCTTGCAGGTGTAATTAGTTAAGGTGAGGTCACACTAGAGTAGAGTGACCCTAATGCAAGGACACATGTTCTCATAAGAAGAGGGAGATTTGGACACAGACCCATAGAGACGATGGTCATGTGATGACAGAGGCAGACATGGGTGATCCGTCTATAAGCCCAGAGGCACTAAGGACTGCCAGTAAGTCAGCAGCTGAAAGAGGCAGAAGGGACCCTTCCCAGGGCTGAGAGCTAAGAACTCACAGCACACGGAGGTGGGCTGAGATCTGAACTGGACGTCCCTACATCCCAGCCTCTCCATCAAGACAGAGAGGGGTAATGGAAGAATTAAACAGGGAGAAAAAAAAAGACAGAGAGGGGTGTGGTGTGTGCATGGACCAGCTCTCTCTGCTTCAGTTTCCCATTGGGGCAAATACTGGTACAGATATATTGTTTGACAAAACCGTGTCACCTGAGGGACAGAGGAAGGTGAGAAAGGTTATGGGTCATTGATGTGTCCACTTAGGGCCACACCTCTTTCAATGTACCTTCACTGGCCAGAGGCATGTCAGGAAGGGCAGGACACATGAAACAGTGCCCCTGAACGCCCATCCACGCTTATGCCTATCATTAGCTGTTCACGCTTCCTTTTTTTTTTTTAAATAATAATTCTTTATTGTTGACCACGCTTCCTTTTCACATCGGGATCCTCAGATATGGACTTGACTGTGCACCGACCTCAGAGACAGGGGGCTATGGAGGGAAGGAGTCACAGCTCTGAGCTGTCCTCGGAGGGCCAGGCCCATCCACTCAAGGGTTTCACTCTCTCCGGGAGCCGGGCGGGGGTGGGGAGTCTGTAAAGAGCTCCCAGCAAGTCAGCTACAGCTGTGGGTCTCACCCAGGGTGGTCCTGCCCTCAGGGGACCCCAGGAAACGTCTGGGGACAGCTATGTTTGTCACACTGTGGGTGTTCCTGACATTGAGTGGACTGGGACCAGGGATGCTGCTCAACACCCTATAGTGCCCAGGACGGCCCCGCAGAGTGCCCACCCCAAATGTCTTCCTTGGGACTCAGCGCAGGAGTGACCTTGTCTTTCCCAGAATCCAGTTTCTGAAGCCAGATTCCCCTTTTCTGCTTAAACTATCTGAACTTCGTAATTCCAGGAAATCAGAAACAGAGCTCACCAGCTGGGGCACGTCTGGAACTTCCCAGGGTAAAAACCTAGCTTCCTAGACGCTGCTGGGGATTTTGTTAAGCCTCCATTTTATGAGGCTCTGGAGATGTGAGAACAACTCTCAAAAGGTAATTAATGGCTGACTTTCCCATGAACATAGAGCTCGGCCAGAGCAGGAGCCCTTCCACAGAAGAAGCAGCCTGGCTTAAACCTGTCAGAATATGAATTGTCTAAAAAGTTCAGGAACTGAACTAGCACTTCCATGAATCCCCTGAGGCACTAAAATACAGCTTTTGCTGAGAGAGAAAGAGAGAGAGAGAGAGAGAGAAACTTACAGATGATCAGTTACTTGAGAGGCCTGGGACACGGAGAACGCTGAGCTCTGCTGTGTAGGAGATGCAAAGATGATAAAGACACTCTCTCTCCTTTAGGGAGGTTTCAAAAAAAGTACGTTATCAGCCACGAGGAACTGTAAATGCCCATGACTAAGAGAAAGAATACAGTCTGAGAAGGTGACATTCGGAAAAGGCAGAACTACACAGACATTAAAAGGTCTGGGGTGCCAGGGGTTGGGGGAGGGAGGGATGAATAAGGGGGGCATAGAGGATTTTGAAGGCAGTGCCGCTACTCTAACACTGTCATGGTCGACACATGTCACTATACATCTGTCCCAACCCACAGAAGGTACAACACAAAGAGTGAATGAACTCTTATGTCACCATGGATTGGGAGTAACAGTGGTGTGTCAGTGTAGGTTCATCCTTGTAACAATTACCCTTCTCAGGTCAGGAAGGCTGACAGTGGGAGAGGCTGTGCATATGTGGGGGTACAGGGTAATGGGAAATCTCTGTGCTTTCTGCTGTTATGCCACGAGTCCAAAACTGCTCTAAAAGTCTATTAAGCCTTAGCCGGTTTGGCTCAGCGGTTAGAGTGTCAGTCCTCGGGGTCTCCGGTTCGATTCCGGCCAAGGGCACGTACCTCGGTTTGCAGGCTCCATCCCTGGCCCCAGTTGGGGTGCATGAGGGAGGTAACCAATCAATGTGTCTCTCTCATATTGATGTTTCTCTCTCTTTGTCTGTCCTCCTTCCTTTCACTCTCTCTTTAAAAAATCAATGGGAAAAAAATGTCCTTGGGAGAGGATTGACAAAATAAATAAATAAATAAGTCTATTAGAAAAACTATAGCTAACATTAATTCACCAATTAAAAAACACCAAGCATTTGGCTAAGTCCTTTAAGTAGCTCACCCCTATGAAGAAGTTACTAAAGCCACAAACAGGAAGCAAAAAACCACGAAGCCTAGGAAAGCCAGAATTGAACATATATTTGCAGAAAGAATAAACACCATGGAAGGCACTAGAAATATAATGTACACCCACGGTTAATTTCAAAATTTTCAGTAGCTACATTGAAAAGTAAGAAAATGAAAAGAAACAGGTCAAATCAATAGTCATAATATATTCTATTTAACACAAGGGCAACAAAATATCATTTAAACACCTAAGGAATACAGAAAATATTAAGGAGATATTCTGCCTTTTAAAAACATAGGAGCCTCTGTGATCTGATGTTCATTTTGCACATATAGCAGGTCCTAATTTAATCCAGCCATGTTTGGAGGGCTCACGAGCTGCCCGTGGCCGCTGCCCTGGACAGAGGGTTTTTTTGTTCATCATCACCCTAGGATATTTTTCCATTGATTTCTGGAGAAAGTGGAGAGGGAGAGAGAAAATACATCCATTACCGGTCTCCCCCACACACCCCAATCAGCCTAGGGATCGAACCTGTCACCCAGGCATGTGCCCTTGACTGGGAATTGACCCTCCACCCTTTGGTGCTCAGCCAACGCTCTAACCATTGAACCCACGGGCCAGGGCTCCAGAGGGTTTTAAAAGAAGGGAAAATCCAGTTGTCAGAAGAAAGATGCAACGGGACAGGTGCTGTCTCAGGTGGGTGTCCAGGGAGGAGAAACACAGCTATCAGAGCAGGATCTGGGGTGAAGAAACGAAGGGCCTTTTGGGAGGGAAGCGGGAAGCGGGGCGCCCTGGGGCCAGGGCAGCCAGGACTCGCACTTGCTGTGTTCTCACTCCATACTCAGTCTCGGGTTCGACTGACCAGTTGATGTGTCTCTCTCACATCGATGTTTCTATCTCTCTCTTTTTCTCTCTCCCTCCCTTCCATTCTCTCTAAAAATCAATGGAAAAAATATCCTCAGATGAGGATTAACAGGGAGAAAAAAAAAAAAAAAGGCCACTCGTTTTTTAAGATGTCAAAGGGCAGAGAACAGGGGCTCAGGGCTTTGGGGACTCGGCAGCCCCGTGGCGTCACTGAGCACTGAGTCTGTAAAATGGGCTTATAAGCACCCCCTCTGTATCGGGTGAGGGAAGGAGGAGAAAGCAGCTGCCCAGAGGCCACGGGTAACACCAGCAAGTCCAAAACCAGGTAGCGCAGACAGGCCCTGGGCTGTGAAATATGCACATCATACTCCAAATTCACCTGCGTGCTTTAAATATGTGCAGAGCATGGATACCCGTTACCCCTCACGTGACCAGAAGAATCTCACCCTAAGATTAACACTGGCTCTCTGGGTGGTAGGTCACCCATGATTTATTTTCTGCTTTGTGACTTTCTGTATTTTCCAACCATGCCCCTCTTCCCCTTTCAGTGACATCTTATAGAATACGTGGTCCTTTCCAACAAATGCCGGCCCACCAGCCAGTGCAGGGACGGAACTGACTGCGAAGTCCCCGCAATGGGCAGTGCGGACACGCCAACACCCCGCGCCCAGCCTTTGCCCAGCGCTCAGGGACTCCCGACCAGGAAGCAAGAAGCTCGGGTCCCGAAAAGCAGACTCCCCGTGGGGCAGGAGCCCTGAAATCCTGCGCAATTGCCCCAAACCAGTGGCGGGGGCCTAGCGATAGTAAGTGGCACGGCTCGGGGTTGATCTCTAAGTGACAGTTGCAGCCACGAATTCGACCGAGAGCCCACGACTACTCCCTCCCGCCGCCCGCGTTTGCCGCTCCTGAGAGACCAGGACTCCCGCCGCCCGCGCCCGCCACTTCGCGGTCGTCCGCTGTCCACCGCCCGCGTTCCCCGGCCGAGGACCCACCTTCCGCCTCACGCCGACCGGCCGGGCTGCGCGGGCCTCCGTCCTCGGTCGGTCTTCTGTCCCCGGCTGCCCGCCAGTCCGCACCTCGCCTCCCGCCGAGGAGGAACTCCGCGCACAGCCTGCCCCGGCCCCGCCCGGCCGGATCTACTTCCGCTACAGACGAAGGCCTCCCCGGAAGCGGAGCTGAGGGATAAGATATCCACAGAGAGGGGGCGCACCGCGACACCGCGCTCTATGTTGCTTGGCAACCGAAGCCGTGATGCCATTGGTTAGTGCCTGCGGCCGAAGCCTGTGGGCGGAGCTTCCACTGTGCTGGGGATGAGGGGCGGGGCCTCGAGCAGGGAGCGGCCTGGAAGGAGGAGCTGACACCGCAGACTGTGGGCGCTCGGAGGGTCGCGGCCCGAGGGTGGGGCCGATCTGGGGCAGGGAGACTTCCAGGGAGTGGCGGCTCGTGGGCGAGGCCTGGAGGCTGAGCCCGCGTCTGCAGTTTTCCGTCGCGGGGCCCGAGGGCGCCGTTGGTGGGTGCGTGGTGGCGAGGCGTGGCGCGGAGGTGCGGTTGGTCGGTTGGTGATGAGCGTGGCCAGGCCATGGCCCTGCCGCTGTGCCTGCAGCTGAAGGCCGCGCTGGCCCGCAGCTGCCTGCACTGCCATGGCAACTTTTTGGCGTTCTTCACCCGCCATCACATGAACCTCAAGTCCTGGTAGGGGGACGACATCCCCGTGTTGGGCTGCTGCTCACCGACTGGAGCCAGGACATAATGAAGGCGCTGCACTTGGCCATCCCCGCGATCGGTGCGTCCCCGGCCCGGACAGACCCCGGCCCCGGTCCCGGCCGCTCACCGGACCTAGCCCGGTCCTTCAGTGCCTAGCCCGGGAAAAGCTGAACCAAGTGGCAAACACCGTGTACCAGTAGCTGGATCAGCTGTACAAGGGGAAGATGTATTTCCCGGATAAGGGTATGGCCCACCCGCCCTAGGACACCCCGGACCGCGCACCGTTCGAACCTGACTTCCCTCCTCCTGCCAACCCCCATTGGGGTATTTCCCCTAAGGAGCTTCACGCTATCTTCTGGGAGCGGGTGCACCTCATCCAGAATGCCACCGTTGAAAGTGAGCTAGAGAGGCTGAGGCAGGGGCATGCTTCCCAGGGCCTAGGGGACCCAGGACCACAGGAGTATTTTAGAGGCCTCTCATCCGCTGGGAGCCCTGGGCCAGGGCGTAGCTGGGGCTGGTGTTATGTGGATAGGGTGTCAGTGCATCCGGGCATTAGAACTCAGAGCCTGCGGCCAGCATGGGACCAGACAGAAATCCCCGAGCAGGGCATCTCCCTGAGGGAGGAACTCTTTCATGCCCTGGGCGCCAGCAGGGCCCCTTGAAAGATAAATCCCATCTCTCCCTCCTTGCCACTTTCCCCAGCTGGCCCCTAGAGGCACTGGTGAGTATTGCTGCCACCCTGTCCAGTAGTCACTCCACTCCAGGCTAGGAGCCACCCCCAGCGACTGATGGACAAACCCTAAGCCTTGGCAGGCCTGAGAAGGTGGGCTGGAGTCAGGGACAGGCAGGGCCTGCTACGAAAGTGCTCTCTGTGCTCTTGTCCCTGCACAGGCCGCATTGATTGTCAGCATCACTGTGGTGAGTGAGCCTCTGTCCAGGCCATGGGTGTCCCTCCTCTACCTCCTCCTCTCTGCCTTTCATCACGTGGGTAGGATGGGGTGGGCACCACTGGCCCTCTGAACTCAGGGCCACATTGGCTCCCCACAGGTTGCTGGTGCAGTGGAACACAGCTGTGCAGGGCTTCCTCCTTTACATGTGAGTTGTAGAAATAATTGGCACAAGTCCCCCCTCTCCAAACCAACATGAGTTTTATCAGTCAGTAGGGTATGTGTGAGGGCAGCCACCAGGAGGCAGGACCTGGACCCTGTGCTCCGGGCCCCAGCCCTTCCTTCCTCAAGGGTCTCTGAGCTCAGTTGGCACAAGGGGGGCAGATCATCTTGGTTAAAGCGTCCCTTCCCACAGTCTGGTCTTACCCTGCCCCAAGTGGGTGGCAGGGTTGTGGTTAGAACCTAGGAGGAACCCCCGCTCCCATGATGGATGTACCCCAGTGGAGGGACCTGGGGGTCATGGGGCTAACCAGGGCCCAGTCGTGTCTTTCAGACAGGGCACCAACACAAGGTGAGCTCCCCCTCTCCAAAGCCCTGGCCAGGTGGGAGTTGGGTGGGGACAAAACTTTGAGGGTCTGTCTGCAGCCCTGTCACATGCCCCACATGGGAGGCGAGGCCCAGGCCCCTAGCAAACACCTACCAGTTAGGTTGAAGTGGGATGGGAGAGGAAGTACTGAGGCACCTGTTTCTCTCTGCAGCCTGATATCACCAAGCTTCGTGGGTCTGGAGCCCCCACACCCCATCACCCTGACACTGGACAATGCTTCTGAGTGCTGACATAGCGCCGATAGCCATCAGGCCCACTGGACCCACCCCAGCTGCAGTGTGGGGCCGGGACTCAGCTGGGCTGTCCCAGCCTGACTCTGGAGCAGGCTTGCAGCTCTCTGTGGGTCCCTGCACAAGCCCATCAGAGCCAGGCAGGGCCAAGGCTGGGAGGAGGGGAAGGGGGATGGATTGTATCCAGCAGATGCTGGGTGGGATCAGAACTATATGATGGGTGATTAAATGCCCCTGACACTTCTCATCATGGAGCAGTTCCTGTAGGGGCAGGGAGAACCATGTGAGGCCTGGGCAAGACACATCTGGTCATGGGCACAGGGTCCAAAGGTCAGTCCCCACACCAATTTGACGGTGATTTGCCAGAGCGTACCTGGGCAGGCTCACCTGGAAAGGAGCCTGGAGCGAGATGGTTCTGATGATTCAAAGGGAGACTGCAGTCTGGTGAGACAGGGTTGGCTTCAGTGTATCATGGGGCTGAGGCCATCAGGTCATGTGGGGCTGAACCTCAGTCCAAGGAACCCTACAGCACTGCTTCGAAAACACTCCACATGGATTGTGATCCAGGCTGTATAGCTGTTCCAAGACGGGAGGGCAGCTCTGAAATGCTGCCCTGAGGTACCTTTCCTGCCTGTCAGTCTGTCCTGAGCAGGCACTCCTTTCTCAGCCTGGGTGCTGCTTCCCTGACTTCCTCCTCCAGCTCCCTCTTGTTCTTGTGTCTGGAGGGGGAGAGTGGGAGTTGAGTCACAGGCCTTTTGAGGACCCCACACATGCTGCACAGCTTCCTACTGAAGTTTCCCTGACAGAATGCTAGCCACATTTTCACCTGTGTGTTTATCCGGTAGGATTTAAACAAAACAGCATGAGAGGCTCAGGTGATATTTGGATAGATATTTAGGTAATGGAGTCGTGGGACGTCTTCAATAAACACAGGGAGGGGTGTGTGCCAGGAGCAGGGCTGGCTGATCACCAGGATGCTGGTCACCCCGTCACTGCTATTTCTACATTGGCCTTTGCCTTTCCAGCCCGAGGGCAATCAAGGGGTTGGTGTGCTACATGATGCACTTTTCCCCACTGAGAAGTGGAAAGGGCCTGCTGGCTGACGGTGGTAGAGGCAGGACTGGCGAGGCCTTTCTCCCCACTGGTGCTCCAAGTGGGGTTTAATGTGGGGCTGATCTCCACCCCCTACACTAGGAGATTCCAGTTGTGATTGATTTGGGCTCTCTGTCCACTGACCCAGCCTGACCGGATGTGAGTCACCCTGTCCATGTGTTGTCATGAAAAGCCAGTGGCAATGTGGTGAATTAGCAGCAGGGCTTTCCTTCTAGCATCTGCTCCCGCCACTCACCCAGCACACCTCTTACCAGTGCGGTTTCTGGGAAAGGGAGGGTGATGGCCACTGTGTGGTGTTGGACCCCATTTCTCCCAGTCCAGGGACCGGGATGGCATGGGGATCATGTCGCCTCCCGAGAGGATGAGGGTGTCCCACAGCCCCATCTGACTCTGAGCGACTCAAGGATGTTCACAGACCCCCGCAACCTCCCTGCCACCAGGGGATGACCCCCACCAACAGGTAAATGCCTATTTTGCAAGTTTATTGGATCGTCTTGACACAAAATCATGACAGCAGCGTGATATGTCTCCTTTACATGGGAATGTTGATAGCAAATTCTTATATAACACATCATACAATTTCAAGATTCTAGAATCACTGCACAGGATTCTGCAATAGATTACATGCTAAAGTGACAGTTTTCATCAAAAGGATAGTTAAAACATCATTGAGGACCATCATCTCTGAGGAAAGTCTCACTGGAGTGGGCCAGAGTCCCCTTGCCCTGCCCATGAGGCACATTAAGGGACCCGACCTCCCCAGGACGCATGTGCTTCACCATCGGGGCCATGGAACCGAGGACTGGGCCCTCCCAGCAGCTGTGGATATGACGGGAGGACAAAGCCTGTGGCTCACCTCAATGTCAACCGAGACCTATTTTACTGAAAAGAAAACAATGTCCAGTCCCTGCTCTGTTAAGGGTCCTGAATAAATCCCTACCCAGACTGCAGCCCTCACCCCTTGCAATCCATTGCCATTCTCTACCCGGCACACAAACACAGCAGTGGGACACAATGCAATGGACAATGGCTTGCATGACCATTTCCCCACCATGTTTCCTGGCGAGAGAGAACTGACTGGCTGTGAGGTGTGAAGGGGAATGTCACTGTGGTGAGCAGCCAGCCCATTTCTCGCCTCCCAGGTGGGGACGTGGAGACTAGTGGGATTGGATGACTTCACAGAAGCAGGACGTGCCTCCCTGCCCTGCCCTGTCCGCTGTATACCCATCACCCGGGCCCACCCAGTCCTGGCTTGGACAGTGGTCACACTCATTCCTTGAACAGCTCTTGCGGCCATGTACAGTTGACCCCGGCCACAGGAGTCACTGATGGTTTGAGGACTGGAGCAGGGTTTCTCCCCAAAGAGAGTGGGAAGAGTCAAAGTAAAAAAGATGACAGGAAAAATCTGAACATATGACCTCAATGTCTAACCGTGACGACAGTGGACTTAACGCCGGGCTGAATAAGTACATGCGACAGAGGAGAAACTAGCAGTTGGAACCCGTCTCTCCTTCACGTCCTCTCTGTGGTGGCCTCAGTGACAACAGTCAGCAGTTGGCCAAGGTAGCCTTCATCTCCTCCAGCAGGTTGCTGAGCAGTGTGGCATCGCTGCACTTCCCATCTACCGATACAGACTTCTCACCCTGAAAAAGGGAAAGCGCAGTCCAGTAAGTTGAAAACTGCATGAAAATCCTGCCTCACGAATACATGTACTGCACTTGGGATTTTCCCAAATGCTGTCCCTATGTGGGGGTGCTTTCAAAACCGGAACAAACGAGGAGCTGTGGAACCTGGACTGAGGCCTGCAGTGGTGGCCAGGGGCCCACAACTGGAATCAGAACCCTGGGAAGAGCTTGACAGAGCTCGGGGAAAGTGATCTGCAAAACTGTTCATGAGCTGAGGACCTGCCTGAAGCTGAGCACACATGGCCCTCACCCTGACGAGCCAGCACACCAGACTCTGAGAACACAGAGCACCACCCGGCCCTGGCCCCACGCACGGGGGCATGTGAGGCAGCTCCGTGCTGTGGAGGACAAAGGTGTGAAAACTGCAGTAGGAGCCTATGCATCAATAGTCTCCCCAGGACTTAAACAAGGCCCAGACACTAGGCATATTCAAAATATCTAGGATATAGTCACAGATGACTCAGCATATAAAGCCCGGGGCATCTCAGCTCACTGGGAAAGACAATCGGTAAACACCACACTGAGATGAAGCAGATGTCAGACGGATCTGACAGAGGTGAGGAAGTGGCTGCTGTGAGAATCTCCCAGAAGCAATCACAACACTCTCGAAACTAAGAGAAAACAGAGCACCTCAGGAAACAAACAGAAGATATACAGAAAAACCTCATGGAAACTTTAAACCAAAAATGTGATAATCAAAATAAAAAACTCACTGAATGGGTTCAATAGCAGAGGAAAGAGTCAGTGAACTTGACAGCAGGTTACTAGAAACACTGCAGTCTGAACAGACAGCACAAGGGACTGAGGAAGTGGGGGGTGGGCAGAACCTCAGAGACTTGAAAAATGGTAACAGAAAGTCTGGGTTCAGGTCTCTGGGCTGCCAGAAAGAGATGATAAAAATATGCAGTGCTGAAATCATTAATAATAGCCAAAATTCCCCAAATTTTATAAAGAAATGCAAAGATTCATCAAGTTCAACACACTCCAAACAGATAAATCCAAAGAATTAAATGCCCGGAAACATCATAAACTGCTGGAAACTAGAGACAAACAAAAATCTTGAGAACAGCCAGAGAAAAAGTTGCACTCCCTATATAAAGAATAAAGGTTCAGAGGAGTGTGACTTCTCACCAGAAACCATGGATTCCAAGTGGAAATGGCATATTTTTAAAGTATAGCAGGTCTCTGACTTACAATTTTTAAACTTTAATGCCAAATTTTGAATCTACTAGATCTTTTTCTGGCTAGTGGTAAGCAATACAATCTCTCTTGTGATGCTGGGCTCCTGCTGCCCCATGATCATGACAGAGAACAACACATTAAAATAGGTTGTGTTGGTTGCAACGTTTTCTGGATATTGTGTTCTGCACACCTTTAAGACAGGCTGCGCAGAAAGGAAACCAAGATGGCGGCATAGGTAAACACTGGAAATTGCTGCCTCCCACAACAACTTCAAAAATACAACTAAAAGACAAAACGGACATCATCCAGAACCACAGGAAGGCTGGCTGAGTGGAAATTCTACAACTAGAAGGAAAGAGAAAAGCACACTGAGACTCAGAGGAGGTGCGGAAGTAAAGTGCAGAGGTATGGAGGCGCACGCGGAAAGGGCTGGCAACTGAGGATGCCGTTGTCTTTTTGAATCGGGAGGGAGTCTCAAGATCCCGACTGCTCTGAGCTCCCGTTCCAGGCGAATCTCTGGGGACCCAGACTCATACGGGGAGAAACTGGACTGTCTGGCAGCGAGCAGAACTCGAGGGCGGCTTTCTCTCAGAGGTGTTTGCAGCGATTACTGGGACACTGAGACGCGGGGCCCCTTAGGGCAGGGCTGAGGATCAGCCATAGCTGCTTGCTCCACCCTGTTGATTCCCTGAGACCCTGCCCCACCCAAGCTGTGCGTAGAGGCTTTTGCATATGAATGCCCTGGCCCTTTGCAATCTAAAATTACCTAACAAACTGCAGCTGGGTCAGAGAGACCCAGAACTTCCAAGAGAAGGCCCAAGGCCCCACAGCAGCTTGCACTGCTTCACAGCTGGGCCTCATCTGGGAACCTCCAAACCCCAAACAAAGAAGAGGAATATGTAGATCTCTCCATAGCTCCTGCTGGGTAGCCTCAGGCAGAGACTAAATTAGCACCTCCTTAGAGATCCAAGTGCCAGGGTACCCAGTGGTCAGAGTGGGACCATCCAGATTACATCTCCTCAGATCCATAAGGGACACACTCAGGGGGCAGACTCAGTGAGCACCAAAGCCCCACTGAAGCAAGTCTTGCCCCAGAAGGCTGTCTCCAGCACAGAATTCTCCCACCATAACCACAGCTGATTGTCACAGCCAATTGGCCTGGAGGTCAATTCCTCCCAGTGATACCTACAACAATCAAGGCTTAACTACAACAAGACTGTACACAAAGCCCACAAGGGGGTGCACCAAGAGTGTCCACCTCAGGAATTGGGGAGGCTGAGCCACTGGGCCCTATAGGACGCCCAGTACAGAAAGCCACTCTATCAACAGAGGGAAGCATAAAAAATGCGGAGACAAAGAAATAGGTCACA